TCAAATTACGACGTTTCATACCGAAAATATGCCAATTACTGTAAACGGCGATGGGTCATTTTTTGCCCAAACCCCCCTGCAGTTTTCAAAATGTCTGAAATGTCGGAAATTTGACTCCTGAGCGTGATTTTTGAGCCGAATTCTGACTCTCTGCACCTATTTTCAGTTTCAAATTACGAAGTTTCATACCAAAAATATGCCAATTACTGAAAACGGCGATGGGTCATATTTTGCCCAAACCCCCCCTGCAGTTTTCAAAATGTCTGAAATGTCGGAAATTTGACTCCTGAGCGTGATTTTTTATCCGAATTCTGACTCTCTGCACCTATTTTCAGTTTCAAATTACGACTTTTTATACAGAAAATATGCCAATTACTGAAAACCGCGATGGGTCATATTTTGCCCAAACCCCCCTGCAGTTTTCAAAATGTCTGAAATGTCGGAAATTTGACTCCTGAGCGCAATTTTTGAGCCGAATTCTGACTCTCTGCACCTATTTTCAGTTTTAAATTACGACGTTTCATACCGAAAATATGCCAATTACTGAAAACGGCGATGGGTCATATTTTGCCCAAACCCCCCTGCAGTTTTTAAAATGTCTGTAATGTCGGAGATTTCATTCCTGAGCGTGATTTTTGAGCCGAATTCTGACTCTCTGCACCTATTTTCAGTTTCAAATTACGACGTTTCATACCGAAAATATGCCAATTACTGTAAACGGCGATGGGTCATATTTTGCCCAAATCCCCCTGCAGTTTTCAAAATGTCTGAAATGTCGGAAACTTGACTCCTGAGCGTGTTTTTTTATCGGAATTCTGACTCTCTGCACCTATTTTCAGTTTCAAATTACGACTTTTTATACCGAAAATTTGCCAATTACTGAAAACGGCGATGGGTCATATTTTGCCCAAACCCCCCTGTAGTTTTCAAAATGTCTGAAATGTCGGAAATTTGACTCCTGAGCGTAATTTTTGAGCCGTATTCTGACTCTCTGCGCCTATTTTCAGTTTCAAATTACGACGTTTCATACCGAAAATATGCCAATTACTGTAAACGGCGATGGGTCATATTTTGCCCAAACGCCCCTGCAGTTTTCAAAATATCTGAAATGTCGGAAATTTGACTCCTGAGCATGATTTTTGAGCCGTATTCTGACTCTCTGCGCCTATTTTCAGTTTCAAATTACGATGTTTCATACCGAAAATATGCCAATTACTGTAAACGGCGTTGGGTCATATTTTGCCCAAACCCCCCTGCAGTTTTCAAAATGTCTGAAATGTCGAAAATTTGACTCCTGAGCGTGATTTTTGAGCCGAATTCAGACTCTCTGCACCTATTTTCAGTTTCAAATTACGACGTTTCATACCGAAAATATGCCAATTACTGAAAACGGCGATGGGTCATATTTTGCCCAAACCCCCCTGCAGTTTTCAAAATGTCTGAAATGTCGGAAATTTGACTCCTGAGCGTGATTTTTGAGCCGTATTCTGACTCTGCGCCTATTTTCAGTTTCAAATTACGACGTTTCATACCGAAAATGTGTCAATTACTGTAAACGGCGATGGGTCATATTTTGCCCAAACCTCCCTGCAGTTTTCAAAATGTCTTAAATGTCGGAAATTTGACTCCTGAGCGTGATTTTTGAGCCGAATTTTGACTCTCTGCACCTATTTTTAGTTTCAAATTACGACGTTTCATACCGAAAATATGCCAATTACTGTAAACGGCGATGGGTCATATTTTGCCCAAACCCCCCTGCAGTTTTCAAAATGTCTTAAATGTCGGAAATTTGACTCCTGAGCGTGATTTTTGAGCCGAATTCTGACTCTCTGCACCTATTTTCAGTTTCAAATTACGACGTTTCATTCCGAAAAAATGCCAATTACTGAAAACGGCGATGGGTCATATTTTGCCCAAACCCCCCTGCAGTTTTCAAAATGTCCGAAATGTCGGAAATTTGACTCCTGGGCGTGATTTTTGAGCCGAATTCTGTCTCTCTGCACCTATTTTCAGTTTCAAATTACGACGTTTCATACCGAAAATATGCCAATTACTGAAAACGGCGATGGGTCATATTTTGACCCATCGCACGGAGGTCACTATAGCCCGGAGTCGCCTCTCAACCCGTCCTCCTAAGGTTTCCTAACGTCAAGAAACTGTCGTACTAAATTGCCCCCTTATCCTAACCTACCAGAGGACCCCAAACAGAAAACTGGGGTCAGCATGTCAATCTCGCGAGCCGCTTCCGTTTTCTATTACGACGGTTCTTGGCCTTAGTTAGAGTATACGTTAAAATGCGACGTTCTATTAGGAGGACGGGTTGCACCTCTGGTCCATACACATGTACTGGTGAACGAGGACCAGGTTTCTCACTCTTCTGGCTCTGTCTCTCAGTCAACAGCCGAGCCGAAGTGTACAAATGTCTGAAATTAATAATTTCTAGGTCTAACTTAGAGTAAATAGTATCCGGCTAGTTCCAACTTAGTCGCTATAGTAGTATCCGGATATTTCAACCTAAGCCGCTATAATAGTATCCGGATACTTTCAAGTCGTTACAGTAGTGTCCGGATATTTCCAACTAAGCCGCTATAGTAGTACCCGGATTCTTCTAAGCCGCTATAGTAATATCCGGCTAGTTCGAACATAGCCGCTAGAGTAGTATCCGGCTAGTTTCAACTCAGCTGGTAGAGTAAATAGTATCCGGCTCACTTACAACAATAGAGACTATGCGGCCGGAATGGGTAATATACAAATTTTTGTTCCAATTTAAGAAAATTGTGCCACACAGAAATCACAATAGCGTGATGCATCAGATGAACAAATCCACAAGGGCTGTGATGAGGTTCGAACCCTCATCACTGCTCTTGTGGATTTGTTCAAGTTGGGCCATATTTACATTCTACAGTGAATCACTCGAGGTCAACAAGCCGTGAGAAGTCATCGTAGGTCCTCGACTAACGGGGTCAAGAAGAGGTGAAGGGTTCGACTCCCCAACTAACAGCTAATGAGTTAAGCGCACCGGAAACGCTCCGAAACGCAAGAATAAACTGACATGAGATAACATACAAAAAATTATGACGTTATTCTAACATTTTTGTAAGGCGAGGTTGTTTTTAATCGGTGCTTTTAAGAGCATATTTGTAATAATAATAATAATAATAATAATTAATAATAAATAATAATAATAATAATAATAATAATAATAATAATAATAATGCAAAGGGATTATTTTTATTAATCGCAAGATGAAAAAACATTTCCCACACAGTACATAAAAGTTGAAATTTCGCTGGTAAGTCTGATTGAGGCACAATGGACTGTGTGTGTGTGTGTGTGTGTGTGTGTGTGTGTGTGTGTGTGTGTGTGTGTGTGTGTGTGTGTGTGTGTGTGTGTGTGTGCACGCGCGCGAGAACGCTCCCCCTTGAGATATATAACCTTCTCAATTACTGCAACATTTTCCAGGCGGGAGAGCAGGAGCAGAACACGGGGCGCCTCTCCTGGGTACCAAAATATATTAATAAAAACTTTAGGAGGGAGAGTTAGTGGAGGAGCGAAGAGCGTAGCTTGGCGTAGCGCGTCAACGCACACTTTGTCTCTGGCAGGTGGCTGCTCTCTGGGTACTCAAGTACTCGTATGTTCTTGGTTAAACTTCAGCTCCTGGGCGTCGCCTTTCATTCCCTGGTCACCCACTGCTAATGGTTCCCGGCCGTCTTCTTATCATTACCTTCTATCTCTTAACTGTGGATGTTGTGCGCCTCCTGTCCTCTTTTGTTTTCTGTCTATATGTTTTGCTAGACATTTGTGTTAACCATGCCACTGCCTCTTGTAATCGTGTATGTTGAGATCATGTCCACTGTTGTCCGTCCCTTCTCCAGCTTAGTGAGGTCCAGTTGCCTGACGTATTATTCCCCGCAACGCAGCTCCTGTTGTTCCGAGACCAGGATTTTAGTAAACGTTTATACTATCCATAGTTTTGTTGGATTTGTCAATGAGGCTGCATAATGCGGTGCTAGTCTAACATACGTTGTGAACAATGTTCTGGAAAATTTCCTTGTCCATGTTCCTGATGGGAACCCGAATGTTCAACAGTTTTCTATACGCCGCTGAAGTTATCCAGTTAACATGTGGCTTTACTAATGTATTTCCTTCTCTAACTCGAGCATTTGTCCCCCGCCACCTTTTACTGTCCATGTGTCCTCTCCCTAGTTATAAAAAAAAACAACATATCACCTTGCATTTTATTGGATTAAATTCGACCAGCCATTTCTCAGACCATATCTCTAGTATGTTAAGGTAAACCTTGACCATTCTATCCCTCACTGTCCAGCCCGTTATCGGCGTGAGGGGGGTTGGGGGGCTAGTGGGGAAGAGGGTGGGGGTGGGGGTGGGGGGCTTCTGTCCAAGTGTGATCCTCGATAATATGACATGTCATCTGTCCCCTTTGACCCTTGTTCGCACTCCACACTTCTACTTTCTGGATAAGGCTTCCTGACCACACTATTCCCACCTCGAGAGCCCGCTTGTGTTGTGGTGGAGGGTGAGCGGAGACGGCAGCACACTCACTCCCCGCTCGGAGCTCTTGGTGAGTTCGAGCGAGGAGGGAGGCTTCGATGTCTCGGTACCTCCGTCTTCGTTACTGAACCCGATCTCGATGGCCTGGCGGTTCCTAAGGTGATGATCGCAGGGAGTGTATATCCAGGGTGCACCTGTAGCCTATAGCCCTGTATTGTGGGGGTTCCCTGTCCTCTCACTGTGACTTCGTGGTGGCTCTCTACAATACTTAAGGCATCGACACTTACAGCATAGGCTGGATAGGTACACAAGTTGAAGTGGTAGGATAAGTACACGAATGGAAGGGATTTATAAGTGTATGATTGGAAGTGGATGGATAACACCCATCACCATCAACACCACCCATCTATATCACCAACAACATCACCATCAAAATCAACAACACCACCGTCACTAACGCCGTCACCATCGTCATCACCATCACTTACCCTTGTGCCAGAAGCGTTGCGGTGAGGTCATCCGAGTGGCCGAGAAGGAACCTGTAGGGAATGCCAAAATGGTGTCTTTAATACTTTGTCATATATATATATATATATATATATATATATATATATATATATATATATATATATATATATATATATATATATATATATATATATATATATGGCACAACTCTCCTAAACACGAGAGTCAAGTATACAACTTTAGAACACTTTCCCACCAGGAGACTCGAACCCTAGCCAGCACAGAAGCCTTCCAGCAACTGGCATAACAGGTACGCCTTAACCCTCTCCACCACCTGCTCAGACCCTTAAAAGAGATGGTAATTTCGGAGTTTGTGGTAATTTGTGGTATTTAAATACTCCGAAATTACCATCTCTTTTAAGGGTCTGAGCAGGTGGTGGAGAGGGTTAAGGCGTACCTGTTATGCCAGTTGCTGGAAGGCTTCTGTGCTGGCTAGGGTTCGAGTCTCCTGGTGGGAAAGTGTTCTAAAGTTATATATATATATATATATATATATATATATATATATATATATATATATATATATATATATATATATATATATATATATATATATATATATGTATATATATATATATATGTATATATATATATATATATATATATATATATATATATATATATATATATATATATATATATATATATATATATATATATATATGTATGTATATATATATATATACACACATACATGTCACGGCACCATAAACAACTCCCAGTGTCAACACCTACACAAGGATCAATCATGACTGGCCTATGGAGCTCACCAGTTTAATAATCACACATTATATCCGGCTATTGTATCACGCTCTCACTCACAGCGTGGGCCAGGGGGAAAAGTTGTGACCCCCTGAGTGCAATCATCAACTGGCCCATGTGTTCACCGCTATCTTCACCAAAGGTTACAATCATGCAAGTATATTGTTCACAATCAACAGGCATGGCAAAACTTAGTCCTGGGAGCTCGCTATTGTAACCTTTACCATTTGGGCATTTTTTCTTCAGGTATTTTAGACATTTAATCCACGGCCAATTGCAACATGAAATCCATTTTTTTTAACACGGGTAGTTTTTGACATTTAGATCATAATTACATTAAATAATAGTTTAATGCAAAAATGGGCCTACATGATTTATATATATACCTGTTTTTGAAAATAATATTAACACGAATAGACTAAATCATTTATACACACACTATTTTTTACATAGAGCATAATCAAATATAGACTAATGTAATATTTGCCCCTGGGGGAACCTAAGCCGGTACGCGCCATCCCTGTAGCCATTATTACCTATTGTCAAGTGAATAACAACATGTCAAACCAATTTACCGATTAATATTCCAAGCATGTAATCCATACACTGAGAGTGCTGAGGTCACTCGCCCTCAGACAACCACCTCAACGAACCCCTCCACGACACTGAGGGCTGAGGTCACTCGCCCTCAGACAACCACCTCAAGGAACCCCTCCACGACACTTAGAGGGCTGAGGTCACTCGCCCTCAGACAACCACCTCAAGGAACCCCTCCACGACACTTAGAGGGCTGAGGTCACTCGCCCTTAGACAACCACCTGAAGGAACCCCTCCACGACACCATCTGCAGCGACCACATTACTCAACAATGGCGCTGACTTGAAGTAGTATTGAGTAATATTCAGCTGTTATATCACTCTTGAAGCTACTGATCTATTCTGACCGGTGTGTGTGTGTGTGTGTGTGTGTGTGTGTGTGTGTGTGTGTGTGTGTGTGTGTGTGTTTTACCATAATTTTTTTCAGCTATCATTCTGACCGCATTAAGACAGGGGTCGTCTATGGTCACTTTCTAAGTGACCATAGACTTTTTAAGTGACCCTTTCTAAGTCACTTTCTTAGAACACAAATAATTTGCACCTCACAACATTCTGAACCCAACCCACCATATTTTCACAGCTGGTTTACCTTACTGATACACTCGGGAGTTACAGATAAAGGCTAACAAGTTCCTGCCATTCATTTCCACCAATGAACCAGGCAGAAGAGTCGAAAGAAAAGCCAATGATCGATACCTCACATCGCTTCAGCAAATAGTACAAGAAATATTTCAATTGGACAAAGCTATAGTTATTTTTATCTCTCCTAACAAATATAGCATTCCCAAGCACAACCGCTAGAAGTCAGGGGCCAGATTCACGAAAGCAGTTACGCAAGCACTTACGAACCTGTACATCTTTTCTCAATCTTTGGCGGCTTTGTTTACAATTATTAAACAGTTAATGAGCTCCGAAGCACCAGGAGGCTGTTTATAACAATAACAACAGTTGACTGGGAAGTTTTTATGCTTGTAAACTGTTTAATAAACGTAACCAAAGCCGTCAAAGATTGAGGAAAGATGTACACGTTCGTAAGTGCTTTCGTGAATCTGGCCCCAGGAGTTCACGAGACCCCCCGTGTAAAAACTGACCTTGAACACATATACAGGCAGGTGTGCGAACACCAGACTATCAGAGCACAAAATACCCATTAGATACACACACACAACACCTCTGCCACTTCCCAAAAGCTCACCCACAATACTGAGTTTGAACACAGCCACTTCGATAGAACAGGCGAAGTGTAGATATACTGTAGTCCCCCCCTCCCTCCCCCCCTTTTCCGTCACACAATCATTATATACATACTTATTAACACTAGATACGAAAATCAAACCACAAAAAAAATGTCGAAACATTTCAATCTCGGATTACAAAAATGAACTCGCTAACCGTAGTGTATTGGCACAGGAACGAGGAGAGAATACACAAACACTCTCGCTGAAAAAATATATCAAGTTCTCTCTCTCTCTCTCTCTCTCTCTCTCTCTCTCTCTCTCTCTCTCTCTCTCTCTCTCTCTCTCTCTCTCTCTCTCTCTCTCTCTCCTCAGACAGTTTCAGTATTTACAGCCGAGATAAAGGCAGTTCTCCAAACAATGAAAATAATAAACAACTTGCTAACGACTAGATTTATAATTCACACTGATTCCCAAAGTGTCAGTGATAGTGTCAGGACATTGTACCCCATTCCACGCGATGACCGCCCATTCCACGCGATGACCGCCCATTCCACGCGATGACCGCCCATTCCACGCGATGACCGCCCATTCCACGCGATGACCGCCCATTCCACGCGATGACCTCCCATCCCAAGCGATGACCTGCCATTCCACGCGATGACCGCCCATTCCACGCGATGAACCCCATCCCACGCGATGACCACCCCATCCCATGCGATGACCCCCCATCCCACACAATGACCCCCCATCCCACGCGATGAGCTCCCATCCCATGCAATGACCCCCCCATCCCACACAATGACCCCCCCCATCCCACGCGATGACCCCCATCCCACGCGATGACCCCCATCCCACGCGATGATTTCCCATCCCACGCAATGACCTCCCATCCCACGCGATGACCTCCCATCCCACGCGATGACCCCCCATTCCACGCGATGACCTCCCATCCCACGCGATGACCTCCCATCCCACGCAATGACCTCCCATCCCACGCAATGACCTCCCATCCCACACAATGACCTGTTCCACGCGATGACCTCCCATCCCATGCAATGACCTCCCATCCCACGCGATGACCTCCCATCCCACACGATCACCTCCCATCCCATGCGATGACCCCCATCCCACACAATGACCCCCCATCCCACACGATGACCCCCCATCCCACACGATCACCTCCCATCCCATGCGATGACCCCCATCCCACACGATGACCCCCCATCCCACACGATGACCCCCCATCCCACACGATGACCCCCCATCCCACACGATGACCCCCATCCCACACGATGACCCCCCATCCCACACGATGACCCCCCATCCCACACGATGACCCCCCCATCCCACACGATGACCCACCATCCCACACGATGACCCCCCATCCCAGACGATGACCCCCCATCACACACAATGATCATCAACTTGCAAAAATGGCAGTATTTGCTCACTCATAATATACCCATTCTCACCCAAACTCATGAGGGACCCATTCCTGTGGGTGCCGGCACAAGTGCTGGTTGAAGTGAAATATATAAATGGAAACTAAAATATATTGACACCAGAACAGTGTCATGGGTGTGACACAAGCATAGTGTCATGGGTGTGACACAAGCATAGTGTCATGGGTGTGACACAAGCATAGTGTCATGGGTGTGACACAAGCATAGTGTCATGGGTGTGACACAAGCATAGTGCCTAGAAACTAAGAATATAACTTCACCATTACATCACACTTGCGTATTTGAAACACTAAGATCAGTAATATGCGAGACTTACACCTCACAGCCCTCTCAAATATGTAGTGGAATGTCGCAAAATAAAATAAAAATAAAATAATACAGGCTTATGGTAGAATTTTTACTGATAAAAATAATAAAACACCCAAAGCTACATCAGACAATTTAGAATACATAAACCGTGAAGGGTATATGGCCTAGCTTAACTTAGCAACGCCTGGCCGAGTGGCAAACTGAAAATAGGATATTTCTACCGACAATAGTCTACGGTAAGTGCTACCCACATTTCATTACCTTCTGTAGATTTTGTACAATATGCCTACCATGTGGCTACCTTGTGGAGATTCCGGAGATCAACGGTCCCGCGACCCGGTCTCCGACCAGGCCTCCCAGTTGATCGTCTGGTCAACCAGGCTATTGGATGCGGCTGTTTGCAGCCTGACGTATGAATCATAGCGCTGGTTGACCATATGTTAACCAGTCATGTTCCTTATGTGTAGCTGGAGTGTTGAAAAGTCATGGGCCCCTTGATGTTGATTGAATTCTCCCTCAGAGTACCAACTGCACCTCTGCTTTTCAATTAGGCTATTTTGCACATCCTGCCATGCCTTTTGGTCTCATGTGATGTTATTTTTATGTTCAGATTTGAAACCAGTCTCTCTAACATTTTCAACACGTAAATTATTATGTATCTCTCTCGCCTGCGCTCTAGAGAATACAGATTTAGAATTTTTAA